AATGTGGCAAGTAATTATCCTGGCCTAGTAAAGTGCCAGTAGTAGGTTCTTCACTAAGGTCCATGACTTCATTAGCCCTGAGTACTTGCCTGGGTTTACAATACCAGGCATGATTTCTCTTCTGCTATGTAGGACTTAAGTACAATCAGACAGCTCTTGGGTACTGCCAAGATGTGAGCACCTATTGCACCTTTAGGAATATCTTGTCTTTTAGGCCATTGCTTTGGTTTCTAGGCATTACAGCTGGGTAAAACTACTGACTACTGCCCCACCCCTTTGGCAGTTTGCATTGTAACTTCTGATACTATGATACTTAGAGAGACCTTTCAAGTAAGATCAAGTTCAAATCTTCCAAACCTCGTGTCTGAAGAACATGGTGTCTTCAGCAATAGGGACATGCTTTCAGCCTCTGGGAGACAATCAATGACAATAGCCTTTGTTTTAACAGTCTCTTGGACTTCCCCAAGCAAAAACTAGAAAAGAGGTTTGTCATGCCTGGTGTTTGATTTTGTTAGAAGGTCTACAGCTCATATACATGTGAGTGTGTATGTGTGTGTGTGTGTGTGTGTGTGTGTGTGTGTGTGTATGTGTGTGTGTGTGTGTGTACATATATCTCATATATATGTACATATGTAGTGTGTATGTGTACACATATATTTATGAATACACATACCCTTACACTTACATGTGTTATGTGTAATTTCAGGTAAATATAAAATAATGCATTTCCTTAAGGTATTACAAATTTGAATTTGTTCTCTGGATTTATGCACATTTTGAACAGTTTGCACCTATAACTACCTTTTGCTAGTATTTTCATAGTTTTTCTGTTTTTGAAAATATAAGTGAAATTATCAAAACACTAGTTAATTGTATGTCAGTATAAGAAGCTACCACGTAGTTTACTATGGGACTTAAAAAATATAATCTCTGCATTACATGATGGCATTCTTACGAGACTTCTGGCCCATTTGTGTGGGAGACTATTGATGTCTTCTGGGTTTAATATGCCTATACCTTCGTTTCATAATTAACGATACTGAACACTTTTTCTTATAAGTTTTACCCACTGAAAACATTCATTCTTGAAGAGTCTATTGAATTCCATCTTGTTAGGAAATCCTCCAAGATACTTTTTGTTGGTATGTTACTTTATATGAAATTTATACATTTGCAAAAATACAACAGGGATGAATTATGAAAAATCCATTCTTCATTATAGCTGCAGCTAAATTTGAAGAATCCATTTCCATCACTTATCCAGTCCATTTCTCCTCTGCTTTGCTCCCTTCCTCATCTGAGGAGCCTCTGACAAATACCAATGTATTTCTGTAACGCATGTCAAATTACTTGTTCTAGATTTAAATACCAGTGAAATTATACTATTCGTTATTTTATGTGTTCAACAAAAAAGCTCAGCATAATGGTAGTAAAATCTGATATTTTCTGATATACTATTAGTTTGGCCATGTTTATATTTCATCAGTATCTCATTGTTTATATTTACAATTATTTTATATTTCAAAATTACCACTATTGTTATTAATGTATGTACGTGTATGTGTGTGTGTGTGTGTGTGTGTGTGTGTGTGTGTGTGTGTGTGTGTATAAGTATGCCACCGAACTTGTGTGGAGATTAGGGGAAAACTTTGCAGCTCTGGTTCCCTTCTTTCACCTGTATGGGGGTTCAGGGAATAGAATTCAAGTCATGGGTCTTGTGTGGAAAACACTTTTTTCCACTGAACCATCTCACCAGGTCAATACTTGTTGGTATCTATGCATCTATTTTTGGAAAGATTTTGTGTTATTTTGTTTTCCTGGTATAATAAGCTTTTCCTAAGTATGTTTATACAATCATTTCTATAGAAATACAACTATTTATCACCAGTGTTTGTATGATTTTTAATAAACCAAAACCCTTTTATATTCACAGAGGAGTATGAGTGTTCTTGGTTGCTTCAAAACATAAAAAAAAAAAAACCATTGAAATGGCTTCTTGAACTTGTTTAAATTTGAACATTCTCTTGGCTTTTTATACACAAATAGGTCAGTCAGTATCTTGGAAAAGTTTTACAATTTTACATTGTCAATGTTTTGTCTTATTATTAGGGAACTATAGGTATTTGTGTATTCTGTTCATGGATCACTTTTAGATGCAGTATCAAAATGATTTCTCATTAGCATTTAGCCATAAAATGCAAACATATTTCTAACTCATAAAGTATTTATTAAACACTGAGATGAGGAAAGTCTCTTTTCATAGCATGCTATTCTTTTATTGTTTATTTAGATTTATCTATTCTATCCCATTTGTATGAATGTCTTGCCTGTGTACATGTATAGTACATGCTTGACGTGTGCTCATGTGGGTAGAAGAATTATTGGATCCTTTGGAAGTGAGGTACACATAATGTTGGGAACCAAATCCAAAATCTCTGTAAGATCAATGAGTGTTGATCACAGAGCCATCTCTCTAGCTCTCACAACATGCTATTCTTTTTTTTTTAATTTCAAGTTTTTATATTTTCAATATGTTACAATTTGAGGATTGCATATGCATAAGGTGTTTAGATAGACAACCAATATTTTCAAAATTACCCTGAGCAGTTACATTCAGATTCTTAAAGTCTAAATACTTTCATATATTCACTGTGGCTCATGGAAATGCCTTTTTCATATTCCTTATAGTATTTTTTCTTTTTTCAGCTGTGTTTATTTATTTATTTATTTATTTATTTATTTATTTATTTATTTTATTTTTCTTTAATAAGAAATTTTCTACTCACTCTTCATGCTATCCACAGACCCCCTCCTTCCTCCTCCCACTCCCCAGCCCATGCCACAATATGCTATTCTTAAGTGAAGTATGCCATATATAATTGAAAATCTTATAGTTTAATCTAACTGTTAACATCCTTACCTACTTATTTCCTTCTATTTTTTTCAAAAGTAGGAAGATTGCAACAGAATAAAGGTTGATTTGTTTCACTATTCTGATAGAACCAAGTGAAATGTCCCTACTAGTCAAATCAAAACACTCTATTTTTTCATAGAACTAGCAAGGACTTTCCTTTCCATGATTCATTCCATATTGCATTTTGTAATTTCTCTTCTACTTTATAATTTCTACCTGTACAGAAAAAGAAACCTTCTAGAGAAACTAAGGTTCTATTGAAATATCATGGTTTAGATCTGTACATAGACACAATTGTTGAATATGACCTGTTTTTATACGTTTCACCTCACCTCGTGCAGAAATATTAAGCTACTAACTTCTGAATCTCCTTGTTTTTTTGAGTTTCATATTAATTATCAACACATTTTGCCTGTTGTGAACACAAATACAAATGCATGTAAAAGAAAACGTTAACCCCAAAGATTCTCAAATTTGAGTTATTTTCAGCCTTGATCACAAAAACTATTCCACCTTTGCTTAAACAGTTTTCACTTTTTAAAAATTTACTGTTTCAGGAGTCATTGACATTTATTTTTAACTGTCTTATGTTGCAAGAGTCATTGTAATTATTTCTTCTAGAGTAGTTCAAACACCATCAACAGTGGGATGAAAAAATTCAATTGTATCTAGACCTAAGTTTTTCATCTTGGTAATACTTATAAATTATATATACCTATAGAATGTGCTTATGATGAAAAGTCAATTTCTGGTTTGCTCTTTTAGTTGTTTAATTAAATAAAACACAGCCAACATTCCTATATCTTCATCAATAATGTTAGAATTTAATTAAAAATCAGCTCTGGATGAATGAGGAGGCATGATTCAGCACATAAACTTAATGCCAGCTCTTTACTACTAAGCTGCTTGTGTTTTGCAAATACACTCCTTTTGTTCTTAGCTTTAGTTGTAATTAAATTTTGAATAGATACACCATACCAAAGATTTATATTTGATGTATTTTCATGGGATTTGTCTCTATCTAATAGTCTATGCATTTTAACTCCTAAAAATGAAGATCAGAAAATATTCCATATGTAATATGGAACACTTTATCCCCAGTGATTAGAATGTCTGTTGAACAATGTTTATACAGGTAAAGTGGGTGTGTGAGTGCTGGGAGAATATATAAGTAACAGTAACAGTTTACTGCTGACTAATTTTTATCTCAGAAAAAAGATTTTAGTGTTTTTATTTGTCTCCTTTTATTGAAAATAGAATTTTTTCTTATATAATATATCCTGATTATAGTTTCTTCTCCCTCTACTTCTCTCAGTTTCTACCCACCCCACATCCTGTCTGGATCTACCCCATTTTTGTCTCTCATTGGAAAATGAACAGACTTCTAAGGGATAATAATAAAATAAAATAAATACAAAAAAATAAGATAAAATAAAAACTAACACATTGAAGTCGGACAAGACAGACAAGCAGAAGGAAAAGAACCTTAGAGAAAGCACAGGAATCGCAGATCCATTCATTCACACACTCCAAAATCCCATAACAACACTAAACTGGAAACTGTATCATATATGCAGAGGACCAGTGCAGGCTCTTTACATGCTCCTTTAATCTTAGTGAGTTCATATGATCTTTGATCCTGTTGATCTAGAGGGCCTTGTTTTTCTGGTGTCTTCCATCCCCTCTAAAAGGAATTCCATGGTCATGCATGCCTGGGGGGACACTTAGTCATCTGCACCTAGTCATTTCCGGTCATATGTCCTGTGTGACCCATGCCCCAAGGCTGCATGGTCACATAATCGCGAGGATGTGACCATGTGATCTATGCACATGCGTGGAATAGCCACATGGGCCTGAATTGGTCAAATACACACACACACACACACACACACACACACACACACACACACACACACACACAATGTTCTGTTGCTTGCAAACCCTGACTCATTATGGACAGTGACAGAAGTTTGAAACGTTCACTCTTAACTCCTGCCAATCTTTCCCATGAATCAGCCAGTGTTAGCAGCAGCCTGCCTCTGTCACCAAAGCAGTTACGTCATCACCTGTCGCCAGGTGCCTTCCCACCATCAGCTATGAGACATGTGCCCCCCTAAAAGTGCCTGCCTGGCAAAGCAAGCTTTTGCCTCTTTGCTGTCTTGCCTCCTCTCCTCTTACCTCTTGTCTCTCTTGCTCCTTCCTCCTCTCTTGCTTCTTCCCTGTTCTTTGCCTGCCTGCCCGCCTGCCTGCCTGCCTCTCTTATGTCCCCACTCAGACATGGTCTTTCACTCTTTCACTCTCCCCTTCCCCCGGTAAACCTCTTGCTCTGACTCTGTTTTGCGGGGTGTGTTTTCTTGGTGGCACACCACGGCAGGGCCCACCAAAAGGTAAGCACTTCACCTTCCCCTTTTATCCCGTCAGCCAGTCTCTCCTCCATTTTCAGTTGAGTCAATTCCTGATTCTGAGACACAGCAGGACGCATTCTTAATGGATTTTTCAGTCACTCAACTCATCTTACAGCATCTCTCAGGGAACTTCTAAGGAGCACCTCAATCAACGTTTGTCCAAGTGTGCATTAAAAAAAAAAATACACAGGTATTAAGTGGACAAGCATTTCAGATAATAAGTTTCTCCAAATTTTTGTGTGTTAAGAAACTTCTTCAGTGGCTCTTTCCCGGCCATTATAACGACAGCAGCAGCAATTTGACTTTTACAATGACTTCTTTCAGCTCTATCTCTTTCGTAATTCCAGCCGGCTGAATGACATGGAGTTGGGCTTGCTGCTTTGTCAGTGTTAACATCACACAGATGTTCATTGATGGAAAGCACAGCTGCCCATCCAAATGTTCTTCCATCCAAATGCACAAAGATATAAATTAAGTAAAGGCACATAAAATCAGAGGTTTTTATCTTCTTAAATGATGGCATACATGAAATTTTGATCCAAGTGGACTCAAAAATACTCTTATACTTATTAAGATTTTCTTACAAGTAAGGAAGAATCAGCTATGATATTAAAAATATTTTTTATCTCCAGCTTAGAAAAGAGTTTTAATGACTAATGGATCAACTTAAAATATTTTTTATGTATTGAATTATTGGTGTGAATTAAGGATCATGAAAATGTCTTCAAAATATACTGCAAAGTTTACATGTTAAATTGGAAGTACCTTTATGAATCACACCCAGAAGCACACTGGATTCAGTGTGTTTACTAGGCCTATATCCTATTAATTACACTTCCTTTGCTCAAAAGGTTTTACTTTCTACTGACTTATCAGCAATAAATTTTTATACCAAAGCATCTGAATTCTACTATGGATTAACATGGGAACTGTGGTGCTGTTTTGTTTGTGCTCTAATAAATAAAGCTTGCCTGGAGAACAGAGGGCAGGGCTAGCCAGTAGTTAACCATAGAGGCCAGGCCCTGGTTGTTAGTTATTTCGCGGCGCTCTTACCCTGCGAGGAAATGTCACGAAACACGACAGAATCCGCTAACAAGAGTTTTATTAAGATGAAAGGGACAGACGAGTGCCCAGGCCTGTGGAAGAGACACATGTGAAGAGAAGAAGAGGAGGAAGCCAGGAATATGGCGCCAGCTTATAAAGGCTGGGTGGCGTAGGTGCGTACACAGGTAGACGTAACTGCTCCACGCATCTGCATAGATCACATGGTTGTGTTGCACACTCTTACGTAACCATGTAAAGTCACGGATCCTGGTCACTCGAGATGCCTTGACCCAGAAATGGCTATTTTGACCTGGAACTGGCTAGGCGGAAGTGTCCAGGTCCACTGGGCACACGCCCAACCGTGGGGGCGTGTTGTAAATCCATCACTGGTGGCACACAACTTTAATCTCAGCACTTGAGAGGAGAAAACAGGAAGTGATATGGGTGGGCAGAGAGAGGAAGTGATGAGGTGGGGTGTAGACAGGAGGTTGGTCCCTTTCAGTCTGAGGATTCGGTAGAAGTTAGAAGTAGCTGTTGCTTGTTCCTTTGTCTCTCATATTTCAGCATTTACCCCTATATCTGACTCCAGGTTTTTTATTATTAAAACCAATTAGAATTCATGCTACAGGAAACACAAATAGTTCTTTTTATGACAGCATTTTAATTCTTATATAATCACTTGTACACTTGACTTTTGGATATTCTTAGGAAACAGTCCTGTCTAGTCCAGGAAGTGTTACAGAGGTATCAGGATTAAAATTAGCTCTCATGCTCTGTCTTACTTGGCTGTCACTATATATTGCACTGGCTTCCTTATTGTTCTGTGTCCACAAATCACTACATTTTACATCACTTGTCACAAAAGGTCCTCAGACTTTTCTGCATAAGTCCTATCTTTTATGGCTAAAGACTCAATTTGACCTGAAGGTCACACTGTTTGAACTTCAACTCTACATTTTGTGACATGATATCAATATTTTCAACTGTTAGGTCAAACCTAATCTCCCTAGGAGTTAGATGGATGAAACTCAGAAGTCTATTCTGGAATATAATAAAAAAATCTGAAGAATGAAAGAAAATCCTGCCCTGATATTCTTGGTCCAGTGAACCAACACAACATATTTTATAGTATATGAGAATAACCCTGTTAGTTGTCATCCCACAGTGCATGCTAGAGATACTAATGCTAACTGAGACAGTCCTGGACTGTCTCGTTTTGCTTTATGCTGAAAGCTAACATATTTTCCTTCTTGATAATGACAGCAAAACACAACCTCTTGTGCAGGCTGCCAAAAACCTCTGACCCAGCTTTTATACTTCATTAAAACAACAAAGATGACCTTTTTTTTTTTTTTTTTTTTTTTTTTTTTTTTTTTTTTTTTTTTTTTTTTTTTTTTTTATACATTGTCTTACGTAGTCTCAACTGTTTTCCTTTAATCTCTCTCATTGTCTTTCTGAAAATTCCATATCAGCTCACTTGGAATGAGAACGAGCATATGGGCTCCATTCTGAAATGTATTTATTGACACCTACATGATAGCATCTTTGGCATAGGAAAGTACTCTGCATGCTACAGAAGGAGAAATGTAAACACCAAACCAGCCACAAACCCTTTGACCTACAATGATGTCCTGCCTACAAGACATGCTAGTGCAATGGTGGCACAAAGTTTGTGGGAGTCACCAGCCAATATCTGATCTGCTGAAGGCCCTCTCCAATAGATGGATTCCATTCTTGGCACTGCTTGGTGACCAAGAGCCAAAGACTACATAAGAGCCTAGGGACCTAGGGTAAAGCCAACTATTACTCTTCAAAACAAACAAACAAAAACAAAAGCAAAAGCAAAAACATCAATAAAAAAAAACACCCAGGACAAAGCAACAACATGATGTTCTGCTATTCTCATAGATCAATCTCTTGCTTGGACATTATCAGAGAAGCTTCCTCCTGCAGCACATGGGAACCGATACAGAGACCCTATGTGGAGTGAGAGACCTTGGAACATTCAGCCCTGAATGGGGTGCTTCCTTCAAATGTCTCCCCTCAGGGGCTCAGGGAACCCAGCAGAAAAGTGGAAGAGCCAGAGAGGATGGATAACAGTAAGAAAACAAGGCTTCTAAATAAACATGATTTATGCACATATGAACTTACAAAGACTGAAGCAGCATGCACAGGGTCTTCAGGGGTTTGCATCAGAGGGGGTCTCAGAGCTGAATGGGGAAGTAGACTCATGATGGCATTCCTACCTAGAAGCATTTTCATTTGACAATCACTTGCAAATGAAAATTTAATTTCTTCCCAGGGAGTCTCACTAGGAAAACAAACTACTCCTCAGGGTAGGTTACATGCCTAGGACTAGATGGCCAACAGAAAATTAACTCAATGGCATCATTGCAAGTATTTGTCTCACAAAGTCATGTTAGGGCTCTTCTTTTTCTTTCAATTTTATTTTATCTTATTATTTTTTGTTTATTTTTATTTTATTTGTATTTTTTTGTTCTCTCTCTTTGCATATATATAATGGCTTCCACTTTAGTGTTTTATGGAATTCCTATGTGTGCAAATGAGTGGATCTCTATTTCTTGTGCTTTCTCTTGGGCTCTTTTTCTTTTGTTTATTTATTTTGTCCCATTCTGATGTGTTAGTTTTTGTTTTACCTTATTATATTATATCTGATTTTATTTTATTTTATTTTATTACCCTCCCTTAAAAGCCTGTCTGTTTTCTATGAAAGACAGAAAGAAAGTGGATCTGAATGGAGGAGGTGAGGAGGAGCTAGGAGCACTAGAGGGAAGGAAATCCATAATGAGGATACATAATGATAGAAAAAAATCTATTTCCATAAAAGAAAAAAAGAATTATATGAAAGAATAGGAAATCATATATGCAACTTGATAATTTTTTGATCAACTGCCTTATTGTCCTGAATATGATATGTCATTAACAACTGACTAATTAAATATCTTGAATTTGTACATTTACCTCTACTAGGCTGGTGTCACAGAGAAAGAAGAAAACATGACAATGATGACTTAACATTAATACAGCTGAAAGAATTAAGCATAACTCACAAATAACCTGTTTAGTGATGATGTAATTTTATTGATTAGAACAACTAAGTGAATACTGAATTTCCAATCCAAGACAAGGTTACTTTAAATTATGACTATCACGTACTTGAAAAATATGGAAGCCTTTTTTTCCTGAAAGCATCAGAAGGCATACTTTTATCATGATTTTTTCTTTCATCTCAATTTCATTGTTGTCTCATGAATGCTAATGATTTGAATATAACTCCAGTGAACTTAGATCTTTATTAAAATTCAATGTCATATTATTACCAAGGGAAAAAATGAAAACTGTTCTTGGTGAAAGCATTTTAAGAGGACTATTTGACCTGGTAGTCTGCACAGAGTTAGCATTCCCTATGTGGCTTATTATTTGAAATGTTCAATGTAGTTGAGAGACTGTGTCTAATAGGGATAATTTACTCTCTGGGGTAATAAAATGCTATAATGTGAAAATAGAGTAGAGATATTCTAATATCCCAATAAACACAAACTGACTTAATGAAGAAAAAAATTACACTATTTTGCAGAAAATAATAGCCGTAACATAACTCAAGAAAATAGACAAAATGAGGAACCAGAAGCTATACCATGTATCAAATATTCATCATACAAGTAAGAACTGGGTTAGTGTACACGAGAATCCTCAAGGTCTTAGAATTTGCCAAAGATTAAATCAGATGACTGAAAAGTATTAATAAATAGTATGTTTACTTTTCAATTGATAGTTCATGTCACACATATCTTAATATACTTGAATATTAATTCAATATGCAATCTTGGGGTTTTTTAATTTGCATATGTTTAAAGAATATTTACCTAAACTGCCCTAAGATTTAACCACACGTTTCATTATTGCTGCTGCTTTTG